AGAGAGAGAGAGAGAGAGAGAGAGAGAGAGAGAGAGAGAGAGAGAGAAAAGAATGGAAAATACAGATAAGAGCATAAGCGATATATGGAACACAATGAAAATTTCTGACATGTAATTTGCAGTCCCCAAAGGGAGGAACGATTATAAAGAATGATAGAGATCATAAATGAAAGTTTTATAAATGGATGAAATATGTGAGGCCACAGATTCAATAAGCACTACAAACCCCAAGCAGGTTAAACCCCAAGAAAACCACAGGGAAAAGCAACCACTAAACTGCTAATGTCCAAAGAGAAATAGGAAATCTCCAACACAGGACACCATGCGTCAGATAAAACCCTAACTACTTGCTACGCGTCAGCCCAGACAAGGTAAGAGAAACTGCTGGAAAAGATCAGCCCTTCTGGGCTGGGGATGTGGCTCAAGCGGTAGCGCGCTCGCCTGGCATGCGTGCGGCCCGGGTTCAATCCTCAGCACCACATACAAACAAAGATGTTGTGTCCACTGAAAACTGAAAAATAAATATTGAAATTCTCTCTCTCTCTTAAAAAAAAAGATCAGGCCTTGGTGCCCTGCAAGCCTGAATCCAGAAAAGCCGGCATGGCCGTGTGCACAGTGGATGAAGGAGAAGTTAAGTTGAGAAGCTTTGGTAAAGATGGGGAGGGGCTGCCTGTAAAGCAAAGACTGATGGGACTGAAGAAATAACATCTTCACAATCACATTAGAGATTTGAAAACACCCCTTAATGCAATTGATAAAACAAGCAGACTATAAAAAAATCAATATCAACACAGAAGGTCTGAGCTAACAATGAACTTGGCCCCACTGACCTATAGAGAGCTCTTTACCCAACAATCATAGACCACTTCACATTTTTTTCCAAGTGCATGTAGAATATTTACCAAAAATTGACCATTTCCTGAGGCACAAAGTCAGTCAGCCTCTATGTTTTGAAAAACAATTATAATTATTATTATTATTATTATTATTTTGGTACTGGGAATTGAACCAAGGGCACTCTACTGATGAGCCACATCCCCAGCCCTTTTATTTTTTTATTTTGAAACAGAGTTGGTCTTGAACTGGCAATGAGCCTCCTGCCTCAGTTTCCAGAGTAGCTGAGATGAAGCTTGCCCCCTGCACTCAGGCAGTCTCAATAAAGTTTGAAGAGTTGGAGTTATTCAGAATATTTTCTACCCAGGCTGAAATTAATCAAGATATCAATAGCAAAAAAAGAAAACCAGAAAATCCTTTAATGTGAGAAATCAAGCAATTTAGATCTAATTTCTAAGTAACGCATGCATCAAAACAACAGCTCATGGAAATTAGAAAGTCTTGGGAACTACAGGACAATGAAAATACAACATATTAAAACTTGTGGGATATTTCTAAAGCTGTACTCAAAGGAAATTGGGAAGAGCTGCATATGATTTACATGACACAATGACCATAAAAGCACAGAATGCTGTGCTTCCTCTTGAAATCACATTTCCAGTATGACCAGTGGTTCAGTGTTGCCTGAACTATGGTGTTTACGTTAAAACTATGTCAGTGATGGACTGCTGGCATTCAGAAATGTCACCTCCTTCCCCTTCAACATGGTGGGTTTGCTCTGAGGAGGTCAGCACCATTTTGATTGACAGCCTCCCCTCACACAATTGGGGTGAAGATCTTTGTTGGTACCTGCATGAGGCAGAGGGGAAAATTCTTTCCGTCCTTAAACCTTAAGGCTTAGATGCTTCCAGCTGAGGCCACTTAGACTCTTGCAGCACGCACACAACTCATCCGCTCTGAATTTTATAAACTTAACAACGCGTCCCGGGAGTGCTTAGCTGAGCTGTGATAAAGATTTTCTGAAGGCTCCAGATATTTTTTTTCAGTCTTCTTGGTTCAATAAAACTCAAATCATGTTTTGCTCCAAGCATTTGTTCTCTTAATCTTGAAACCCCTTCTGCCCCCTTTAAGCAAAATTGAATTTATACATTTCTCATTCATTTATACTTTCGTCCTGAAAAGGTTTGGAAAAAACAGAGTTCTTAAAAAAAAAAAATCTCTGAGAGATGCTAGTCCTATTAGATGGCAGGTTTTCAAGATCAAATGAGTCGAGAATTCTTTAATCGACAGTGCCCTTCCGTCTGCCGCCCTTTCTGCCTAAGCGAGTATGTTTTAGTGTGACCTTAGGTCAGCACAGATTGAGGCATTTGGAGATGAGAGTGTCTCTTGCTTCTCTCAGGTAGGGGACATTTACTGGCAGAAATAAATGATCAGAAATGCAATGCAACAATCAAAGGTCCATGAAGTCACCACATGATTGTGACACAAGCCACGGTCCTGTGACACAAGTTAGAGTTATGACTTGTTCTGGTCCCATGTTTTTGACCAAGATGGTCAAAGCAAAGACGTGTCTGGGAAATGGTTTGTTTTTCTAGATGCCGGGGCTGGGGAA